CCCCAAAACCCCAAAACCCCAAAACCCCATTGATAAGATTAAGAAAACTGAGGTGAAAGCATACTTTAATGTCAGAATTAAAAATTGATCAATTGTATATTATAAATTGCTTAATCTTTCAAAAAATAAATAATCTAAAATTTATAAATAATAAAATATTTAATAAGAAATATATGCAAAAAGCAACTTTTAATAAGCCTATCTCACTAAAAGCTAAACCTAAAATGGGTTTCGATGTTCTCTTTGAGTTTAAAAAGCGTACTATAGATAAAGTAGAAGCTGCCTAAAGAAATATTTAATGGAAAACTGTGAATGATCCAAAGAAGGAAGTCTTAAATCAAATGTGGAATATCATTAATGATATGGCTAGTCTTGTTACCGATCAATCTTTTATTGAATTGGTTGAGAGATACAAACGTGAAATAGGTTACAAGGATCCCTAATTGGATGAAGTTAAGAGGCTTGGACTTATTAAGCAAGAAAACGTCAATCTTTTGAAAGATCAGTTCTAATATCAACTTAATAAAGTAAAGCTTGAGCAAAAGCTTCATAACTAGGAAAATCTTGAGGCTCTTGCGAAACTTGGAACGAAAATTGAGATATTGAAAAATTAGGATGGAAATATTAATTCAGAAATTCATTAAAATGTTGTATCTATTAAGGATCAAACTTCTAACATTATGTCAGAAATCGATTTGATAAAGAATATGCTGCAAAACCAAGAACTAAAAAATAGATTGACTTTTAAAATTACAAAAGATGCGATAGAGCGATCTAAATCGATTGCAGCAGCCCATTAATTTGAAGAAGAAAAAGACTACTTAAAATCAGATGAATCAATTTTAAATGATTTCAAAGTTGAAAGAATCACATAAGTAATTAATGAAGCAATATAAAAGTATGGTGATCAAGCCTCAGCCTATCTAAATCCGAGAGAGATACTTGATTTCTTAAAATCTATAAATAGCGAGGAAATAGAGCAGCGTACCTTTAATTTTATATACTCTCAGGCAGATTTAAGATAAATTGATAGTTAAGCAAATGTAGCTTTTTAGATAGCCAATTAAGACTCAGGGAAGCATAGTTTTAGAGTTCAAGAAAACAGGAATTTATTTCTTCAATAAAATAATACTGACATAAATTTTGATTCAGTCATATAGTAAAATTGCCTTTTCTAAAACTCAGATAAAAATATTATCATTGGATTGAATCAGAGTTGGGCAAAAGTTCAATAAATTGATGATGATGAGACTTTTACAAAACTTGAACTAGGATCAAGCCTCATGTCAATGTTCAAAGTTTAAAACTATTTAATCTGTGGACTCTCTAATTCAGAGTTGAAGATTTTTGACAGTGACTACTATGAATAAGTTGCTATACTAAAGCTAAATTGTAAAGCCAACAAATACTTAGCATAGCATGTTCCTGCTATAGGCAGCTGCTTGTTTGTTTTTTGTGATAATGGCTTTATTGAAATAATTTCGATTCAAGATTTCAAGTTGATTTAAACAATCT